TGCATTAAGAAAGTACAAACGATCAATCATATTTCATAAGTACTTATGCTGCGTGTACGCGCCTTTATATTCCTCTGAACGTCAAAAGATCAACCAATCGGAGTAGCCTTTGCAGATCACGTGACTCAACGCGGAAGAGTCTCTCGAGCGGCATCCTTCCATTCGCTGAAAACGCCTTTGCGGTAAATTCATGACCTGCATTCCCTACGCAGTGCTCACTGCTCCCTGCTCCCTACACACTGCGCAGGCGACACAAGTGCACTACGCTTGGACAGTTTCCGTCATTTTTAACGTCCTACAACGTAAACACAGCCAGACGACAGAGTTGTGAAAAATAATTATACTCTTTAACATACTTAGACTTAGACTTATCACGGAAATATACTTAAGTGCGAACTGAATGCAATGTTTGCGACACTTAATTGTATGTTATTTGCAATTTAATGAAGATGAATAATAGTTCATTTAGACTCAATTACGTAGAACTTAAGTACATCTTTATATGTATTTTTATTATTATTAACAAGAATAGGTTACATGTATATGACAAACATTATACAAGATTATGCACTAGAGGGGATGTCTACAAATACAAATTTATATAATGAAGATATTAACGTGTTTACAAACTTTCACAGCTTTTTCTGAAAAGAAAGAAAGAATCAATATAATGCTCCATTTCTTTCCTAAAAGAAAAAAGCAAGTTTTTTTTTTTTGCAGGAGAACTTACATTTGTGAATATGAAATTTTGCAAGTAAAAAAAAAAGATCATGTAAACATTACTGTGCTTTTCTCTAAGATACCAAATAATACACATTTCCATAACAAAACAAAATGTATTCTATATGAAAGTGTATTTTGTAAGCACAGACTAGATAAAAATGTGTGTCCCACTTTACCAGACGCAGTGTCCCAATTTACCTGAAAAAGCCCCAAAAAGAAAAAAATGGGTACTTAACATTTTTTTACCTTTTTACGTTTTAAACAACAACCAATATTATTTAAAAAAACATAGTGGGAGATACAAGAGCATTGTTTATTGTAAAGCATAAATTGTGTTGGTAGAATAGATTTAATCGATATTCAATATTCTCTCATATTATGTATCTCTGACTTTCTGTGTGTTCTGTGAGTACGTGACAGACTGCAGGAACTGAAGGTTAACAGCATTCGTGGCCAAAAACTCTCTCTCAGCATTGCATTTGTATATCAGTGTCCCCAGACTAACGGGTGCGAGCAGGATTGGCTAGGAGCTGATCTCTAATAGATACCATTCAATGTCAAAGTAAACTTTGCGTGAGGACCTCTCTGTCTTTTTGTAAACTGATCATTCAGAAAAGCGCCATGGCTAGCAGAATGAAGAAGAAAGAGCATCACAGCTTGAGCTAGTCAGCACATGATACCTATAGCCTCATAAATTGTCAATGAAATCGCTTACTAGCTTAAGCATATCTGATTTACTGGCTGGCTTGCTACTGTATAAACACATTTTGGTATTTGCTAGTTAAACATATATTTACCCAAGTAATATCAAACTTACTTGAATGAATGCAGAATCAAACGCAGCTTTAAGTGTGCACTGTAAAAAAAAATCCGTAAAATTTACGGTAAAAAAACGGCAGCTGTGGTTGCCGGAATTTTACCGTAAAAAATACGGTAGCAACGTTTTAGGTTTTACGGTTTTAACTTAAATTTACAGTTAAATACCGTAATTTCATTAACTGATATAATGTTAATATACCAACCTATTGAAGTACTGAAATCTGTTTTGTAGCTTTGTAATACACTGATAATCACCAAATGCAGGAGGTGATAAGAAAGTCACACGATGAACCAAAGCCCATCACAAGCAGCTTTTAAATATTAACATATATAGAAGGTGCACAGTGTCATTCACACAAACACCAAACACCATCATGGTAACACACATGAAACTGAAATAATGCAATAAACATTCATCTAACAACATTAGGTGTAACACACAACCCTAATATACAAAACTGAAGAAGAAACAGTTATTTCAACAAAAAAACATCAAATTTGAAATGTAACGCAGGGAATTCTGGGAATGTCAATTTACGGTTATTCACTGTAAATTATACAGTCTTTTTCACTCCCAAAAACGGTATACTACCGTAAAATTAATGTCCAATACATGTAATGTCCAATACAGTTTTTCACCGTATATAGTAGGGGAATTTACCGTTAACCATTTAACAGGTTTTTACTGTAGCATTTTTACAGTCTTTTACCGTTAAATTCACGGTAATTTTTTACAGTGTGGCTTCAGTATAGTGACTAAGGGGGACTGTGTGTGTGGGGGAGAGTCTTTCTTAGACAGTATTTTTTTATTTTTTATTATCTCACCTAAATGTTTGCTCAGTCAGTGTATTTGTTTTTTTACAATGGTATAATTTTGTTGCAGCACAATACACACAGCACAAAATTGTCCAGTTTTATGTAATATTTATGTAATTTACGTGAACACATGGACATTATTTTTTGTGTGCAGGATTTAAGAAATGATCTGTGCATTGTGCATGTGATTGAGTAGCATTTCAACTGAAATGCATTAAATCTGGTTGTTTTAACCAATATTATGCTGCAAGATTTATTTTTTTTCATCTACATTTAAGTTCCCTGTTACAGGCTAAATATAGGCAATATTGCAAATTCCCCAATTTGTTTTCTTTCCTTAATTCCCATGGAAAGTTTCCAGCCTTGAAAATTCCCGGAATTTTACAATGGTATAATTTTGTTGCAGCACAATACACACACAGCACAAAATTGTCCAGTTTTATGTAATATTTATGTGAACACATGGACATTATTTTTTGTGTGCAGGATTTAAGAAATGATCTGTGCATTGTGCATGTGATTGAGTAGCATTTCAACTGAAATGCATTAAATCTGGTTGTTTTAACCAATATTATGCTGCAAGATTTATTTTTTTTCATCTACATTTAAGTTCCCTGTTACAGGCTAAATATAGGCAATATTGCAAATTCCCCAATTTGTTTTCTTTCCTTAATTCCCATGGAAAGTTTCCAGCCTTGAAAATTCCCGGAATTTTGCAACCCTAGTACTGACACGCATTTATAATAAACTAAAACACACTTCAATGTCATTTCTATTGAAACTTGCATGTCATTTATGTAATGAAGTTGCAATTTAGTACATTTAAAATGGATTAACTTAAGCAAGTTCTTTACGTGCTTTAGTATGTTAGTAAACACATCAAAATAGCAAAACGATTTAAAATTTACTTTATAATTGACATTATTACAAAATGCATTTTTAAAAAGTGTACTTAAGTGTAAGAAACAGTCAGTGTCTCTCTTTAAGTATTTAAGTGGCCTTTTATTTAAATAATATTATATTATCTACATACTACAAGTGCACATTCAATACAGTTAAGGGCACTTATTTACTTCCTCATTCTATAAACCTCTAAATTTCTAATGTTTAATATGTAAATAAACATGTTTCGGTTAACTTGTATTTAATGTAACAATGTAATTATGTGACCCAAGAAGAAAATAGTCATCTGACAGCCCTGGAGTCCTTTAGGAGTTTCCTGTGGGTTTTTATAATATTTTGGATTCATATATTATAATAAAATAAAGGCTGTGGTTGACACTACTTGAAGAGACTAACAACATAAAAATAATAACAGAGTGTGACTCAGTGTGTGACTCACATTCAGTATTTTATTGTTAACATCCTCCATAATATATTACAAAACACAGGAAAATACAAAATAAAGATAACACTGTAATTGAGTCGACTGCATCTGAAACAATGTACAGAAGAGAATGATGGGAGGCTGACGAAGGACGATGGGAGGACTGATGAAATCCGAGCAGGACACAGAGATGCGATGTGAACGAGCCGATTCAGATGAAGCAGCTGTGGGACTGAATCATGAATGCAGACAGCACCGGCCGCTTTGAGAGAGAAAAACCTGCACCTCAGAGAAATGAGGAGATCCGAATTCATCTCAGCTGCTCGAGACGGAAGAAAGCAAGGTGTTCATATATTTAGAATCGGTGTGAACATGACCGAGCTACAACTGGCCAATACGTGTCGTTCATAGTTAGGAGCTTTAGAGTAAAATATGGGTTAAATATCATATTCATAAACTGAATGGAAGGAGAACTGGCAGTGAAGTGCATGCTTTTTCCTTTGCGTTAGAAAGTTAGTAACATTCGGCCATATTATAAGATGCACTCAGTGACTTCTTTGGTGCTCTGCCTGATCGTCCTGACACTTTAGAGTCAGGGATGCAACATCATACAAAACAAAACCTTTCTAATAACCAATGCCATTGCAGAAATGCATTATTTACTGCCAGCCGCCATGATTTTTTTATTCCATGAGTGAAAATGCATTGAATGCGCTTGACCATCTCGCGTAATCTGTTTGGTTTGGAAGTGACTTCTGTGCGAGATGTTCTTCATACATCGCTACACTACTGACAATAGACTATTAACTTTCTTGCCAGTGAATTGTGACCGCACTTTAAGACCAAACTGATGTACTTGGTATTCACATGTGTTCGGTATTATTGATGAATGGTTATACTCTGGAAAAAGATGCAGTTTTTTTTAAATTAAAAACTAAAAACAAGGCATGAAAAAGAGCAAACAATGGCAAAGGAAGGCACTTTTAAAAGGCACAGGTCACCTAAAATAATTCTGTCATGATTTACTCATGACTTTTTTCCTTAGAGTTTCGCATAATGTCAGAGCTGCTCTCTATGGAAGCCCGATTCTGCCAGGAAATGTAAAAATATAAAAAAAAATTTAACTGCGATTTTTTATCTCATAATTCTGACTTTTTTCTTGCAATTCTGAGTTTACATCTCATAATTATTGCGAGATGTAAAATTTAGAATTATGGGACATAAACTCTGGAATTGCGTGGAATTCTGAGTTTTAATCTATGGAAGCCCGATTCTGCCAGGAAATGTAAAAATATAAAAAAAAAATTATCTGCGATTTTTTTATCTCATAATTCTGACTTTTTTCTTGCAATTCTGAGTTTACATCTCATAATTATTGCGAGATGTAAAATTTAGAATTATGGGACATAAACTCTGGAATTGCGTGGAATTCTGAGTTTTAAATCTCGGAATTCTGTTTTTCTCAGAATTGCGAGAAACAAAGTCTGAATTGTGAGATACAATGTCACAATTACCTTTTAATTCATGTATTCCATTGGCTTCCATAGCTGTCTACCATACAATGAAATTAAAGGATTTCAAGCTCTAGAAAGCACAAAGACGCAGCATAAAAAAATGCAGCAATATGAGACGAGCACTGATCTGTGTGAGGAACAGACGGCAAATCTTGCTTGACCGTCGTGGTCACCATTGATTTTCATTGTATGGGGAAGAGCAGGTTGAAAGTCTTTGCAAGAAAGTCACCGGAGAGGCATCAGTAAATGATGTAGATTTCTAGGTGATCTGCTCCTGTAAGCTTATGTCAATAGAGGCAGCACTGCTCTCTGTTCGTCCCTCCAGATAGAGGTGTTCGTGTGATGACTGCTACTGTATGTGTGTGTGTTCGTCTCTGCTCTGCTTCAGGAGAGGAAGAATCTCTTTGGGTTTCTCTCGGGACGTCACTCTGTTTTAGAGTGGTTGTTGTTATATGTAGCGTGGCCGTTCTGAGCTGGTCCGTTTTTCTTTATCTCTCCGTTTCTCATCTGTTCTTCCTCCTCGGACTCGTCCGTCTCCTCTCGATCGGACCTCTCGTCTTCTACCGACGACTGTTGGGAGAGAACGACAGCGTCAGGAGAGAAAGCATTCACAAAGACAATGGGATAGTTCACCCAAAAATCTGTCATCTTTACTCACCCTCATGCCGTCCCAAACCTGTGTGACTGTTCATCTTCCAGAGAACAAATACAGGTGTGATATTCAAAAAAATGATTTTCACAAAGCTCAAGCTTCCAAAAAAATTCATTCAAGTATCGTGACTCGTGAGCTATATGCCCCTTAAAGGAATAGATGACTCGAAAATGAAAAGATGCTCAAAATGTCCTTTTTGTTTCTTTATCAGATTTGGAGAAATGTAGCATTGCGTCACTTGCTGCTCTGAAGTGAATGGGTGCCGTCAGAATGACAGTCCAAACAGCTGATAAAAACATCACAATAATCACACAACACTCTTCAAACTGTTGCTTCCGATGCTAAAATACGAGTCTATAATTCATAACAACGCTTCCTCCAGTGAAAAAGTCCATCTCCTGTTGTCTCTCGCCACTTTTTCACTGGAGGAAGCGTTATTATGAATTATAGACTCGTATTTTAGTTAAAAATGTCTTAATGATGGATTTGTTTCAGCTGCTTTTGTCTTCTCCAGATGTTAACTGATGGACTGGAGTGCTGTGGATTACTTGTGGATTATTGTGATGTTTTTATCAGCTGTTTGGACTCTCATTCTGACGGCACCCATTCACTGCAGAGGAGCAAGTGACGCAATGCTGCATTTCTCCAAATCTGATGAAGAAACAAACTCACCTACATCTCATATGACCTGAGGGCGAGCACATTTCAGGCAAATTTTCACGTTCAGGAGCTGCTGCTCCTAATATTTGGACCTTATTCTAAAGTGTTACCGATAAAACTAGGTGTAAATGTAAATATGAAACCATGCAGACGTACGTTACTGCTCAAGAAGCGGAAGGCCAAGCGTATGATCAGCGCGGCCCAGAAGATGTGCAGACACAGCAGAACCATCAGCAGCCCGTTAAAGAAGTAATATCCGAAGAACGGAGGGTACAGGGTCACGGGATACACCCATGTGCAATACATGATCCTGAGAGACAGACAGAAACACACGAATGATACGACCCTCCAAACCCTATAACATTATACAGTATCACACACTCTCACACAGTTCAGTTCTTCTCAATCAAACAGTTCAGTGCCTTGTTTTACTTGTGCACAATGTATATTCACACTTATATCCATAGAAACACACCACGACTGTATCATAATCACGTCAATCATGGCATGTTTGATGACAGCATGTGTGTGGAGAGAAACACAGAGAGAGAGACGGATGAGCTGTGTACCGGAAAGGGAAGATGATGAGGCGAGTGACGATGAAGATCGCAGCAAACAGGATGAAGATGTAGTTGCATGCGTTCTTCCATCGGGCGTAGTTAAACATCTTAGCTGACTGAGAGAGAGAGAGAGAGAGAGAGAGAGATGATATGAGGGGAAGAGACTGATGTGTACACAAGAGGGAATGCTTCTTTCTGCTGTTATACATCACGAGTTCTCAGGTTGCATCCGGATTCACATCATCTGTACTCTACAGCATAGGACTGCATGGTGTATTATTATCCTGAAGTGTGCATTTCTGCTGGCTTTTAGGGCTAATGCTGCTCACATTCCCTAATGTTATGATAATAGAGGAGTTTGTGACCGTTTCCATTTTTAAAGGGATGCACCTAAAAGTTTTCAAAGAAATTAGGGACATGAGTTCAGCTAGTTTTTAACACTGACATGGGCAACATGAAGATAAATGATGGGGAGGATGAGTTTCTTTTGATTTCTGCAGAATAGTATGTAACTTAGTATGGTTTTTAATGTTTATAAAAAAGTATCAAGGCTGTATTTATTTGATTAAAACTATGGAAAAATCTGAAATATTATTACAATGTAAAACAGCTGTTTTCTATGTGAATATCTATTAAAATGTAATTTATTTCTGTGATCAAAGCTGTATTTTCAGCATCATTACTCCAGTCTTCAGTGTCACATGATCTTCAGAAATCATTCTAATATGCTGATTTGCTGCTCGAGAAACATTTCTGATTATTATCAATGTTGAAAACACCACAATATTTTTGTGAAAACCGTGATACATTTTATTTTTCAGGATTCAAATGAATTTGTAACATTAAAAATGTCTTTACTGTCACTTGTGATCAATTTAATGCATCCTTGCTGAATAAAAGTATTAATTTCTTAAAAAAATTATTTAGTTTTTAATCAGTAGTGTATAAAGTACACATTTTCTGCATGCATAAAATACCCAGATGATCTACCACATGTGCCAAAACATGCTGTGAATACTGTATCCCACAATTTTACACAGTTCTTTCCAGTGAAGTTCATACATGTATGTGACCCTGGAGCACAAAACCAATCATAAGGGTCAATTTTTTAAAAATTAAAAAGCTTTCCATTGATGTATGGTTTGTTAGGATAGGACAATATTTGGCCGAGATACAACTATTTGAAAATCTGGAATCTGAGGGTGCAAAAAAATCTAAATATTGAGAAAATCATCTTTAAAGTTGTTCAAATGAAGTTCTTAGCAATGCATATTACTAATCAAAAATTAAGTTTTGATATATTTACAGTAGGAGATTTACAAAATATCTTCATGGAACATGATCTTTACTTAATATCCTAATGATTTTTGGCATAAAAGAAAAATCAATAATTTTGACCCAAACAATGTATTTTTGGCTATTGCTACAAATATACCCCAGCGACTTAAGACTGCTTTTGTGCTCCAGGGTCACATATTAGCATATGCTTAATAAAATACATTTGACCTAAGAGCCTTAGATTCCTCACCTCGAGCAGATAGTCGGCTGAATCATGCATGAACATGATGAGCGTTCCCGCTCTGATGTAATTAACACACCAGGAGAAGCTGATCAACATGATGGTGGCCACGTGATGAATGACCTGCTCTTTGAAGTCCTGCAAGAGACAGTGAGAGACGCTAAGATCATTACACAGTTATGAGTTCTTCATACTATCAGTTTAATGCGATTCATTATAACGAAAACAGAAGTCAACTCCATCATGGTCTCGCTAGTTCATTTTTCAGTCCAGTTATAATGCTACTCAAGATGTCTGTCATCATAATTTAGTTTTTAATGACCATTGCCTTTTTGTGTTTCGTGGTTTGAGAGTGAGTCGTGTGAATTTTGCCATACATGCGTGAACCCTTAAAAAGCAAAGACCTTCTCAGATGGTGGTCTGTTATCCACAGCACGAAGTAAAATAATAAGAAATCTTTCTGAAACAAAAAGCATGATGAATTACACTAATTGAAAACAATAATGCAGTGCATTAACAATGACTGGGCTGAAATTCAACATTGTTGTATAGTTGTGCATTTTTATTAAATTACTTATTATAAGTACTTACAAGTGCTTTTTGAAAATAATCACAAATTAATTTGTTGTTCAAATACAATTTATAATTCAAAATGTTAAGAATAACTCACTAGCATAATTTTAGTATCACTGAGATACTATAATAGTTTTATTAATATTTTGAATCAGTTTTTTTTTACATTTTCCCTTTTTAAGAATTATAATAATTTTGTTGCGTTTTTTTTCTTCGTTTTTAGTCGTTTTTATGAAGAGTTTATTTGCAAGAGCAGATAACTCCGTTTTTATTTTTATTTTCAAAAATCATGTTTTTTATGATGTTATCCTGTTTTTATTGTGTTTTATCTTGTTAGTTAGCTGTATTTTTTTTTTGTAATTTTTAACCTAATCAAAATAACCCAACTGCAGTTTGTTTGGAATTAATTGGAATGCACAATGAAAAAACATGATTTTTTGAAAATTGTTAAAAACGGAGTTATCTGTTTTTGCAAATGAACTCTTCACAGATAGATAGATAGACGGATAGATAGACAGACGGATAGATAGATAGACAGA